ACGGTTTCAGTGCGATGAGAAAACAAACGGAAAACAAGGCGTTTTTCTAGTTTCTCGTTTCAACACGTCTACGAAAAACCGGATTAGAACGGATTTTTTTATTTTCCCGTTTTGGTGAGACAAGTCCAGTAGAAAATTTGGCAATGGGTTAGCAACTTTACTTAGGAGTTTCTAGACGACACGATTTCTGCGCAAGAATGAATGTATAATGGTATGAAATCAAAAATTTTGGTGCGGGTGGCGGCCAGCACCCTAAATCCGCCACTGATACAAAGCATCATAGTCCTACGGACGGGCGGGAGAGATGATTTTCAGAAGGTCATTGTCAAGGAAACAAACATAAATCCAACCATACTTGATACTAACCAAGGTGGCAGCGATTTGGTAACAAGTACACCGAAGCCTCAGCTTTGTGCGTCATCGTCAATTCTAGATTATTCATTTGTTAGTGATGCATATCACTTACACAAAAGAAATCAGGCTACATTGAAAGAATAACTCAGTAGTAATGCTTCTAATAGTAAATCACCATTATCGGCACAAAGTGAACGTAAATCTCAAAAGCAACACATGCATCAATCGTCATCCTCTTCCAATTGGGAAGACAATGAACAGTTTCAGTTTTAAAAGACGGTTTTATGTGTTCCTCAAGTGCTACTCATTTTTTCATACAATACACAAAGTATATGCTCTTCTAAGAAGAGATCACAGTTGCGTGCATGTGTGGATAATATTCTCTCTGATGTTATTCTTCTTCAGGAGTTACATAGGGCCAAAATAGAGCATTCGGAAGCATTCAGAAACACTTTTAGTGATTATGCTGTCACTTGCCGTCTAGGAACATGACCTTCTGATAGTATTTTGGCAATGTCAATGAAGAAACGAATGAAAAGAGTGAATGAATTAGGTCATATCGCTTTCATCAAGTTGGTGACTAATAATACTTCCGTCGTTTTGGTTAGTATACATACTCTTGATGATCGACCTGCTTAACGACAAATCTTTTTATTTGATTTAGCTCTATTTATTTCAATTAGCACTGATATATTGATTAGACGAAATTCTAAACGTGCAGCCGATCCTAAAGTCGAACGAAATAAAATTAGATTAATAAAAACATTTTTTTTGCTTTAAGCGATATAGAATCATTTGTGAACAAAAAGAAGCGTGTCTGATGAAAAGGATCGCGTGTCCGCCTGCGTAAGCCAGAAATGCCCACTGTGCGACAGAAAAATTGTTCTGTTTTCATCAGATATACTCATTTGCATTATCACTTAATATAATTGATAATGTTAGTATTATATCTGAAGAAGAGAATAAGGAGATATCTGGAATCGTTGAATCTGACCGAGAAAATTAATTTTTACTAGAAAAAAAATTTCATTTTTAAAATTTTGAAATTTTTCAATATTTTTAATTTTAAAAATTCAATTTTTAATTCTTAAACGACAAAATCTATGTCATTTTATCCGGTTATGTGCGCTCTTTCAAATGAGATATAATTTGCAAAGAACGGACAAAATTTGACGTCAAAATATTCAAAATACTAGCTTATTATGTTCTTTACTTACAGAATTCATAACTCCAAGAATAAAGGATTCCAGAGGCTAAAAATTTGGTTTTATCTATGCTGGCATCCCATCGTCAGAACAAGACAAAACGAATGTTGTCGCTCCGAATGCTGTCTTCTCATTAATATGCTCTTATTGACAGTGAGAAAAGTATGCATTCTTCCTCAACAAGACAATACTTTTGTTTACGTTGGCTTGGAGCAAAAGAGAACGAAAAATTTATCTTGCACTGAATTTGTTTTTTTATGTATAATACATAAGATATTAAAAAATTTTTCAATACAATTCATTGAAGTTTGAGTCTTCATGACTCAATCTCTTCGCAAGAGAGATATCTTGCCGAGACTGAATCGCTTGACTTCAAACAATTTATGCGGATCAATGATAGAAAATGTATACAGTGCCTGAAGTCTATTGTCACTCACTGTCTTTTATCTTTCAAGTTAATCCAAAGAAAAAGTGGATAACATGTACTGATTTGACTTTCTTCGCATTAGAAGTTATTTCTATATTAGAGAAACAATGATACAAATAAACTGAAATGTTTTTAATGATTAGCTTATGACTATGGCAATATTCATACAAAATTTTCACTTATTCGCTATGATGATTGTTGAGTTATAGGGAGTACGTACTTGCACTAAGTGCCAAGGATGGAAACAAAAACTCTATCTAGTCCAAATGGATAATCGAACTATTATTGAGCCTTTCTAGATTCCAGTACCGACGAAGTTGCCGTGAATATAGTCATAAAATGGGTTCGACACTAAATCAAGCGTACTGTAATTTTCAAAACTTTTCTAGAATTTTGAACGTTTACATTGTCATACAACAATAATCAAAACATTGTAAGCAAAGAATGTGTTGAAAATTTATCACAGCATCTGATAAATTTAATGACTAAATAACAACAAAATTGTGTATCAAAAACTGGTTTAAACATCAATAGTCCCTCTTTTCTTTTTCCTGATATTTCATTATTTTCTCTCTGTAGTGGATTAGCAGTGTAAATCTCATGATACTTTAGCACGTTATGATCTTGTCGACGTCAAACTTCGTAATCAATGTGATCATCATTCGGCTGAACATCGTGCAACAAGACTGTAGCACGTCAAACTATAATATACACACCACCAAGTGAACAATTATCGACACTATGAATGGATTATACAATAAGTGAATACTCAAAATTTTCTCGATTCAACACACAGCAATGATATTCATCACAATTGATATTAGTGATAGTGTCTATCAGCATGTTTTTCATCTCGGCCGAATTATATTAAAGCAATACAAAACATTTTAAGCCTTCGAAAGCTGAAAGTAATTATCGAACTTTTTGGAAAGGATAAACAAATGTCTTTCTATAAAATGTTGTTTGCTACAATTAAATTTCACCCTCCAGACATTATTCACAAGGGCGAAGATGCGTAAGAATAAGAACTATATATTATTTCTATGTTGTATAGAATATCAGTCATCTTCTTATTATTTACGTTTATTTTTGGTCATTCTTTAAAAAACGATCAATATTACAAATAAACAACTACAAAATATACGGAAAGTATCTTTATAAATGAGATACACACACACACACACTTACGGACAATACCTAAACAAAACAAAAATAGACAATCAGATAGATGTTTTGTCTCTTTTGATGTGTGAAAAGCGAAACCAAAATGCAAAAGCAAAAAAAAATTGAAGCAGAGCATAAATCCTAGTAGGTACACAACTCACTTATGAGAGAGAAAATGACAATGCGAAAAAAAAAGCGATAGTATATGAACAAAAAATGTTCTGTTTTTTTTTATCTGATATCGATATACACTAATATAGAGAGAGAATAAACATATACATGCACAACATCTACTTATTCTGACAACGAAAAAAAATATATAAAGTAAAAATACAAACACCGCTTGTTTTCAATTACAACAAACAATTTTTCGTCTCATGAAAAAAATGAGTGTATGTGTGTGCATCATCAAATGTACAAGATTATTATGTTCATTATCGTTGTCCTTTCGGTGGTGCTTTATATTCAGCAGAATTTTTATATGCAGCCATCTCTTTTTCATATTTTTCTTTTGCCTCTTTTGCCAATTTTTCATACTTTTTTTTTACATCATCGCTTGCTCCACGCCATCTTTCACCAATTTGTTTTGCGACATCAGCAACCGATAATGTTGAATTTTTTTGTTTAATTGCCGGACGTTCATCTTGTGAAAATATAAAGAAGGCGGATAACGGACGTTTTGGTGCGTTTGGATCTTTGTTTTTAGACGCACGTGGCATTCTTAATATTACTGCTAAAATTGCACAGAAAATAATTGTTATACAGATAATTTTAAAGAATTTTTGACTAATTATTCTAATTTTTTTACTAGAATTTCGGATGTAGCAACTCAAGATAACAAACAAAATAGAATTCAGAAGGTTGGTTATCAATGCCGCATTAGAAATATCTAATTTAACTGTAAGTAGCAAAGTTATTTCAATTTCGAATTTGTGCAATAAATAATACCGTACAAATAAAGTAGAACTCTTCAAATCTCAGCGACAAATCAATACAAACTGATTGTGTTAAGCTCAAGATGTGCAAGCTTAGAAGGTGAGTAAAATTTTTGTGGAATTAGCTTCTAATCAAAAGTTGGTGTTCATCATGGTACTATATACTAATTCGATTTATTAATTTCAACTTTTGAAAACTACCATCAACAAGCTTTCTCATTCATCTTTTCATTGTTTGTTTCTGTACTTGAAGAACATAGACTGTTCAATAATTGACAGGAGATTTCTTTTTGTACACTGCACACTGCACAACAATCTGACGATGAGACAGAAACGAAAAAAACGCGATAAAAAAAGATATTTTTTTATTTCTCTATTATTATGCACAAACAAAACCTCACTGTCAATCTTACTTTAAGCAAAACAAAACTTGTATGTACGTACCGACGGTGTGAGAAAGATGTCGTTAGATGATTGAAAATATTGTTTGGTCGCTAATATCGACGTTAAATGAAACTTGTTTTTTGGTTATGTTCTTTTTTTATCGACAAGCAAGCAATAACGTTTGCTGTAAAGAGAAAGTTTGAAGACTGAAGCAAAATTTCTTAACGTTGTTTTTCTTGAACGCTCTCTCTTTCTCTTTCTACTATGGTACGATTTCTCTTCTTCTATCGCCTTGTTCCTTTCTCTCTCTCTGTGTGTGTGTGTGTGTGTGTACGTTTGAAAGCAGTGTTTTATACGAATCGTTGACGACGACCGTTGGAAAGAAGCAAAAATACATTGATTGTGTATGCTGCCTATAATAAAGATTGGTTTGTATGCATTTTCATTCTGTTCTCTTCATACACTCACACAGAGAGAACAATGTCTAACAGTACAGCATACACATACACATACTCTTTCGCGTACGTTTCCCCCCTTTGTATTTTTGTCTATAGCCACACTATACGTACATACATTGATGATTATAACGATTTCGTTCCTTCATTCATTACATTCAAACTACTGCAGTTCTTTCAAGTAGCGCTCCAGCGCCATTTAGAAATATATTCTCTCATTTCTTTCTTTTTTCAAACATACACACTAATGTCTTTTGCCTTTCTCTCTATATTATAACGGCTGTATAGATGTATTCTACGTACATACATTTTACATTTACACAGCAACGTAATAAAAGAGAAATATATATATTAATGCCTATGTTCCCCTTCCTTCGTTTTTGCTTGTTGTAGGCTTTCACATCTACATACAGACACAAACACACACACACACACACACACACACATAGTCTCTTTTCCTTCCCTTCATCTTAGACCATACATTTTGTTTTTAAGTAAAAAGCAAGCAGAGAGACACACACTTTCTCATTTATCGATGTACTCTATTCCATCATTATCGTCAGTGATGTTGTTGACTGCACACATTTGAAATATAACATGTACTAGAGATATGGAGGAGAGAAGCTCAGTGTCTTTGTGTACTTCGCTATCATTTGTATATACGGATAGAAAGAATTTGATATATATATATAGAAGAGAACTCATAGATTAGATTAGATTGAAATTATTGCTTTACTTTAACGGGAGATTTTAACTAATATTCGTGCTTAACTCTTCTTTCCGAAGAAGTCTGACGCTATTTTACCCTAAGGAATGCATTTTTAAGAATTAATTTTACACTCCGATAAAACTGTGTAAAACTCTGATGGAAGAGGAACTTGTATACTTTTTGGCACCTGTGTTCTTAGTTGAGTATTCTTTAAAAATGTCTATAAAACAAGAGTTGTACGAAAATCTAAAACGTCTATATTCTGATATACCATCAATGAAGGAGGAGTCCAAATAGATTTGTTGATTCCAAAATATCACCTACATGTTGACTAGTCTTATGTGAAATGTCTGAACATAATTTCAAGCTCAAACAACAATGTTGCGGTTGTGTGTATAGAGTCTGATGTGTTGTAAGTATAACTCATGAGCTCATCATATTTGCTCTTGCTAAATTAGAAAATTGGTAGAAAGAATAATTAGTTAAAAATAATAATTATTTTTTAACTATCTGGCTTATCAAGTTGTAGCAGTGCGTATAGAATGGCCATAAGTTGTTTTACAAATTAGACGAAAAGAAAATTAATTAATCAGTATCGTTTTCATATTTAAATGAATAACGAATCTGAGGAACTGTTCTACCACAAAATAAATATTAAAAGAGAATTGATATATTATATAAACTCTTCCGTTCAGCTGTTTAACTCTTGTGAGTCTTCTAGGTGTAAAGACAGCAGAGTTTTTTCGACTGGGATTAGTTCAATCTCTGTATTTAGAAAGCAGTTCGACAGTTTTCGTAAACTTATGGTATATAACTCAACTATTAACATAAATATTCTATAACTTCTTGAACTTCTTAATCGCTCATTTGTACCAGGTTTCTCGTTTAATCTGAATCATGAAGTGATGAATTATTATATAACACAAAAAATCATATATTATGTTATGTGAGGATGTTAAACTGGCGTCTTTCTTAGAGTGTTATTGAAAAACATATGGTGCGTGCTGACATCACAACTGTAGATGGCATTCTATATGCGTCGATATACAAGTACTACCTTCAAGATATGACTGAAATCAAACACTATCAAAAAGAAACGTTTTTTAATGCGGGAGTACAGTTACAATAGGATCACACTTGAAATCTGATTAGCTATGTGGGAGCTGGCACAAATAAACCATGACCTGTTATCATATACAATTGCTAATCATCCACCTTAAATTCTTTTTAAAGAAGAGGTATGTTAAAAGCAACATTTTAGATCTACAAGCCGAATCGCTGCTGTGATATTCAGCTCTTATAAAAAAGCTATAGAAAAATCTAAATTCTGTCATTTTTGAATAATTACCAACTTTAAACTTCGTAATACGATAGTATTTACACTCGAAATCTTATCATAAATACTTAACAGTATCAGGTCTACGTTTCACCCTAGTGAGAAACTTACTCGGATAGTCAGATTATACTGTCTAAGACATTTCCAAGATTAGATAAGAATCTATCAGGATCTTAATAGTAAGAACGATGACGTTTTTTAAATAGTATTCATTCGAGATTTGGTTAGAATTTTTGAATTTTTAATCCGCATTGTCCAAAGCAGCGGTTGAACAGTGTTAAAAAATGAACAGAAATTTTGTATTTTCGGGTGTCCAGCTATGGACCTTGATCTGCATCTATACTGTCTAAAAAGGTGTTGAACACTTCCGAGAGAGCAAGTACTAGGAGAGTCTGAAAGAAAAATAACCGTAAAATCACTCATATTTTCGGTGTTACTTATATAAATGGATGAGAGGAAAACAAAGGAGGTGGTGAATGAAAGTAGAATCATTAAATCTTATTAGAATCTTAAACGATAAGATCTTAGTAAGATAATTTTAAGAAGTGTCTAAGCTTTTTACTAAGGGAGTTATCGTCGGTGCTCTGCAATGAATAGTGGAGATCAGAGAAAATGTCCCATCTGAAGCTAAATGAACAGGACAATTAACATATTATATTGCACATATTGAACTCTTGTTGAAAACTACCTATATGATTTGATTTTTTATTGCTCCGTGACATAAAATGCTAGTTTAATCTTGACTCTGAAACGTGGTTCTCGATCTGACTTAGCTTCCTCAATCGTTTTAAGAGATTCTTGCCTGTTCATAAACTTCAGATGGGACTTCTTTTCTATTCTCCACCAGCTATATTCATTGCAAAACAACGAACGCTTAATGAAAACTCAAACGCAGACCTGATACTATTAAGTATTTATGATAAGATTTTCGAGTGTAAATACTATTGTATTACGAAGTTTAAAGTTGGTAATTATTCAAAAATGACAGAATTTAGATTTTTCTATAGCTTTTTTATAAGAGCTGAATATCACAGCAGCGATTCGGCTTGTAGATCTAAAATGTTGCTTTTAACATACCTCTTCTTTAAAAAGAATTTAAGGTGGATGATTAGCAATTGTATATGATAACAGGTCATGGTTTATTTGTGCCAGCTTCCATATAGCTAATCAGATTTCAAGCGACTGATTTAAAATCAAAAAGTTAAAGCTTGTCTTAATATGGTATATATATGCAGCATCTCCATCTCTTATCACTGACAAAAATGGATTACTTGTTTTGTATACCATTTTGAATCATCTAATCGGCTAGTAATATAAAAAGATTAACTTTTATTTGAAGTAGATAAAAAGAGTGTGTATGCGGGTGTATAAAGGTAAACTTATATGAAATAGTAGTGTTTTCTATACAAATGTTTCTTATGCTATAATACAGGCACTACTTTTAGCATTTGCATCTCTGGACAATTTTTTTGCTTCAGATGATGCGTCAATATCCGCTTTTGTGTCTTTTATTGACCCAACTAAAGCATCTTCCTTTTTGGGCATTTGAGAATGATAATGTAATTCCTAGAAATATATTGAAAATATATTAAATGGAATGGTTCTAAGAAAAACTATAATTAATACCTGTTCTTTTTTTGGATTAAGTCGTCCCGCTTGAGTTTCAACTTTACTTTTCCAAACTGGTGCAACATGTACATAGTCGGCGAACATTTTAGTCGCGATCATTTTGTCAGGTTCACTACAAGGACAAAGTCAAAAAAATTTGCTATGGTGTTGATACAGACCATAATTACAATATTCTTACTTTTTATAAGTGTCGACAACTTTTTCTAGTGCGACTTTATGCTTTTTCAAATGTTCTTCTTCTTGTCTCGTAACTTTGATTTTCCTAAAAAGATATAATGTTATTGAAACGCTATCATTTTAACAGAATTTTAATATCTACTAACTCTTGTTCAAGTATCACACGAGTATCGACTTGTTTCAGTAATGCTGCTTCTTCCTCATCAATATATTTTCTCAGCGCCTTTGCATGTTCTTGAATTTTTTCTTTCGTATGTGTATATGTTGTAATACGATTTTCCCGACTGTTGTTTAGCTCCGCTAAACAACGAAAACATATTTTTTAAGAATTTTATTTTCAACTTTTATTAAGACAATAAAAGCCTGATTGGATTCAATAACCTACTTGCTAAGCTCAATGAACCAGCAATTCCAGTGCCTAATTCTGCTTGTAATTTATCCACCTCTTTTTTTTGTGATTCATAATGTTTCGTTCGACAAGCTTCACACAATGGTTTTTCACAATGAAAACATGTTCGAAGGTCAGCTTGTGCTTTACATTCGAAACAGATAGCTTGAATTGTTGGAGTAGATTCAGGAATATTAGCGTATGGTTCCTTACTATAAGGTATAGAAAATGACAAAATTATATGTGTTAAAACTTACGCGCACAGACCTATGTACACCAATTAGATAGGGTACCAATTTGTCTGATGTTGAAATATCTGTTATATTAGAACTGGGTGTTACATGTTCGACGTTACATACAACACATGTTACTTTGTTTCCCACTAGCTTTTCTTTTAAACATTTTGAACAATATGTATGTTTACATTTTAATTCTAATGGATCGTTTGCAATCTGATGGCAAGCTTCACATTGGGCTAATGTATCCATTTGTTCTGAAATGAAATAAAGTGATTAGCAATATATAATCATTTAGTATATACTTCAAATTCTCTCTTAACTACTCTAAAAAATAAACATCCTTTACTTTTTTAATGCAGTGCGAAGCGAAAACGCATTCTAGTAATAAACTGCGTGTTTTTTGCTCGACAAAAAAAGTATGATTTTCTGTAACAGTTATCTTGAAAACTACAAGTGGCATTTCAAAACGTTAAACGCTTGTAGTGGCTGAATTTAAACGAGACGAATGGCTGAATTATGTCTTCTCCCCTTTTGAGACTGTTTGTATATTTCGTTGCACTGATTTACAGCTTCAAAGTAGGTCTTTTGAACGTTTACAACTTGTAATTTTTTTTCACAAAACACGATAATTAATCTGATAAGTCATACATGTACACGGGCTTTTATACCAGAGTACGTTCGTCTACCGTGTGATTCGTTTTATGATCGTTCTCTGTATCTAGTGATTATCGTAACTCTAGCCCCTAAATGCCTTCTTGTGTTACAGATTTAACAAAAAAACTGAGTTCTCTGTTGCCGTATCCTTCATTCTCTTGTTCCTGTTCGCACCGTATTCGCAACTCTCGCTAACGTGATTGTCGTCTAGTTTTTTATGTATACTTCAAAAATCAGAACAGATATATCACATTTACAATGTTTTTCTTAGCAAGCCCTTTTGGTTTTAAAAGCAACACACTCTTTCAGTTGTAAGTTTAAATTAAAATTAAAGTTTTTAGCAAATTGCACCTAATGAGAATTAGTGAAAATATAGAAGATATTTCCTAGTAAAATCCCTATGACTTTCCTGACAGGATTTGAGACATATCCTACCAATATCCTACTAGGATTTCGTTTTAATTTCTTAGGATCCGAACAAAATCCTATAGAATCCTAATGAAATACTCGAAAGTCATAGGATTTTCTAAGATTCAGTTAGGATCCTAAACAAATTTAAATGAAATCCTAATAAGATTCTAGCATTTTAGGATCCTGCTAGGAAGTTATACGGTGAATTCTAAATGTTAAGATCTTGTAAGATCTTAGTAGGAAATAGACAGGAAGTGTGTAGGATTTTGTCTTGAAATTAATTAGCATTATATTATAACAGAGTCAGAGAAACGTTTATAAAGACCAAATGAATATTAAATACGTCTCAGATTATTACCTGATTTTTATAACTATAAAATGTATTTTCAATTGTTTTTCTCGATGATAAGATCACAAAATATGCAGCGTTGTGTATTAAAATAATAAACGAATGAAAAAGGAAATAAATTATTCATAAGGCTTATATATATATATATATATATGTGGCATGGAACGGGAGAGAAAAAAGTTGTAATTTTTTATTTTTATAAAAATTGTGTTGTCTTGAGAACAGTGTTTTAACGTTTTAAAAAAAGACTTGACAATGATATAGGATTCAAAAATGGCATAATATGGCGAAATTAATGGGATATAGTATTATACTTTTTTTTATTTCGTTTCATTCTCACGGAAAAAATCAGATTCATTGATTGATTTCAATCTCTTATTCTATTTTTTACTTGATAATTTGGTTACGTAAAATTAAAAATTCTACTAGACGATCTCCTTTGTTCGTTTCTTTGTTTACTCAATAGTTAAAAAAAAAAAAGTGACTTTCTACTATTGTACGTGTACACATAGAGACACTTTACAAATTGAAAACATCTATTTTTTAAAAAAATTAAAAAAGAATATTTTTCTGAGGGCGTGTTGCATGTTTATACACTTGCTGGCCTTGTGGAACAATATTGATGTTTGATTTAAAAATTATCCATCACTTTTTTTTCAACCATAAAAGTTCTTAAAATCTATGAATCAAAATTCACACTACTTAACATAATTTTTTTTTAGATTTTTAAAAAAAAAACCATCTAACACTTATTAACTACATAGCCGATGGCAAATATACCATTGAACAATTTCATAAATTTCCTGTAAGAGAGAACAGATATTCTCTGCTTCTTCTTCATTATAGTCACATTTATAAATAATTCTCTTTTCTATCTATGTATCATAGTCAATTTTCCTTGTTATATGTTTTTCTACTGATGATGACAGCAGTCAGCTTGAAAATTATCAAAATAAATAGTGTAGGTTTCGAATAAATCTAATGTATGCATTTTGTAGCAGTTTTATACTCTATATTCAATATGAAATAACGTTCAGAGTTGTATTTTTACTTGAACGGCTTCGAACTGGTATAGTGGGTAATGGTAGTTAAACAGTAAATTGTTTTAAGGTCTTTTTAGTAATTTTAATCAAAGTCGCAATTGGACATTTTTTTTATGTTTTCTTCTTTGTTTGACAACAATAGCATCCGGTGTACGCTTATATATTGTCTTCTACGAGCAATATTTCATATACAAAAAAAAAATCGAAGTTCGAAGTATAAAAGTAATCGTACTTATAGGTAAACAAGAACGTAAATCAAAAATAGTTATTCAAAAATTAACCAGATTTTAATAGAAGTCAGCAAGCTTCAGAATATTCCCGATCTCGACTTCTTTCATCAGCAAGTTTCAAATGTTAAGGGTACCGCCTTCCCTCTCTATTTTTAACCCTCCTGAAAACCGGCGAAGCCGATGTTTGATTGAGTGAAATTTATACCAGGGATAGAACATCGAAAAAGAAATTGATGTATTATGGCTCAGAATTTTCTGACATGTTCTTCTATCGGTTTTCTGGAAAACTCCAGTTTTCATCAGATCGCATTACGACCACTGGAAAAAATAGTCCAATCGAGGTGAAAATTTTACCGCAGATACTTTATACCCTATCTCAGGTTCGCTTTTTTTCTTTTCAAAAAATATGCTTTTCTTCTCGAGATATACGAAAAATGCTGAAAGTCAGATAAAAAAACTGACTTTTCTGCGTAATCTTCAGCATTTTTCGTATGTCTCGAGAAGGAAAGCATATTTTTTGAAAAGAAAAAAAACAAACCTGAGATAGGGTATAAAGTATCTGCGGTAAAATTCTGACCTCGATCGGACTATTTTTTCCAGAGATCATAATGTGATCTGATGAAAACTCATATTAGAACATGTCAGAAAATTCTGGGCCAAAATCCATCGATTTTCTTATTCAATGTTCTGTCTCTGGTAAAAAATTCCACTCCGATCAAACGTCGGCTTCCCCGGTTTTTAAGAGGGTCAAAAACGAGGGGCTACCGTACCCTTAAATCAATTGTAAATATCAGTGGAAAGTGAAAAGAGCAGCGTTGTTTCTAAATATTCTTGTTAGTAAATAAGATAGTTGTGCTTTGTTTTTCTCTAGTCATGTAAAAAATGATTCAGGGAGATAAAATAATTCAAGTTTTCTTAGTTGTAACATTGATCTATACACTCAGTCGCTTTCTCATAGTGATTCAGAATAAAGATTATACCCTAAAATAATCCGTTTTAAAATAAGACGAAAAGTCAGTTGCGAACTAGTCGGATTCATTCGTCGTATCTTCTTCTGTCTTGTACTACCCATGGGGAAATTTCATCGACTTTTCACGCGTGAGGGACCGTGAAATGTCCTTCTAAATGTGCTTCTAAAATATCACATTTTATATATACCACCGCAAAGTAAGAGTCGAACCAGGGTACTTTGAATTAGAAATCTATGATACTACTATTGAGCTAACTTGCCTAAGAAACTACTGAATAAATCTCATATTCATAGTTGTCGAATCAATCCTCACGAGTTCCCACGTAAAAAAGTTCCCACCCGTGATTACTTATGCACTTCCTAAATCTTTTTTCTTAGTTTCCAACTTTTCCAAACTTTTTTAGTTAATACTTCCTCCCGCGGAACAAGATGATTCCCAGGCATATTCGTTTAGCAAATACCTTCGGTCTGCAGCAAAGGTTTTCATCTGTATGTATATACAACTTTCGGAAGACATAGGAGAAATTTGTATTTATGCTTTCCGCTCAATCAAAAAAAAAAAGTTCTACTCATTTTTTGAAAGTAACTCATTCAGTAATAAAACTGAAAGAATTCAGATAACTCAAAAATGCCTTTAATATTACCATCCGGCAGTTCCACACTGGAATCAAGAATACTACGGTATTTACCGACATTGTTTCCATTTTTTCGAGCAATCGGTGTAAACATAATGAAAAAGATCCTTCCGAAGCAAGTCAGATTGGCAAGAAGTACATTCAACGCAACGTTCAGCAACAATTGATTCAAACAGCTATTGATGCGATAATGATCGATTCATCCGTATTCAAAGATCGAAGTTTATTAGAAAAAAATGGTATTGATAGATGGTGTCATGTATTCACTAAAAAATCAGACCATATCGCTCCAACTAATGTTGATGAGAAAGCTGTTTTTGCTCTTGCACTTAAAATTGTCAATGAATTCGGCCGCCGAGTACCAATAGCAGATCCGAATGCAGAAGGTAGTAAACGACGATTTGAAATGTGTTTTAAGGAGTTCGATGCATCTCTCTGGGTTCGACAATGTATCAACAGGTCAACAGAGCGTCCTTATATTAAAAGTAGCGTATGCGTTTTGGTTCATCAAATCTCGACGGAGAAGATAATGATGGTGAACTTTTAGAAATTATTGAAAAGTTATTAGAAACATGACGTTATACTTCATTTATCCAAGTTTTACACATTTATTTATTTATTCGAGAATACACACTACTTAACAACATCAAACATGCAATAAATGCTTTTTTTTGACGTTGGTCTGAAGTTAGTTGAAGAAAAATTTTCAGTGTGAAGTGGGATGTTTGTTTGAGAATGTTTAATATTATCATCCGGCAGTTCCGCATTGGAACCAAGTATACTGCGGTATTTATCGGCATTGTTCCCATTTTTTCGAGCAGTCGCTGTAAACATAATGAAAAAGATCCTTCCGAAGCAATTCAAATTGGCAAGAAGTACATTCAACACAATGCTCAACAGCAATTGATTCAAACAGCTAAATACGTTTCAATTCGTTGAAACTAAGAAACAGATGCCTGATGCAAGAGATATGAGTATTCTAATAATAGTTCGTGTTTGTTTTCGAAGGGCATTTTTGTTTACGAAGCAAAGTAAATTTTGGTTTTCTCGCGAGTCACAAGTGATAGAACCAGAACCGCGAGCACCTAGAGTTCGGATCACGATCTATCCATCATATCATTGAAATTCGTCTGTGTTTGATGTGATAAATATTTTAATCCATTTTGCCTTAACCATTTTCTTAATTCTATCAGGGCTTAAATGTGTTAGTAGCGGATTAATGTTACTACAACTGTTCGAAGTTGTCATTCTTTTTCTCTGATTCGACAAAAAGTCTTAGTGAAACCGACCTGAGGGAAGAACTACTCACTATGAAGCATCACAGTTGTCACTACTGTGAGAATTATTAGTATTTTCTTTTCTATTGTACATCTCATCCACAACATATCTCTGAATGACTTGTTTATTTTTCTCTTCGTTTGTAATATACATATTGTTTTCGATTATAGTCGTCTTCATAAAGTTTTTCTCTCGTGTAATATTGTTGTTGTTGTCGATGAACATAATGTTTGTTTTTATCAAAATTAAATATTAGAACTCATAACTTAAGTAAGTCTTAAAGTTAAGAATACCATCTAGGATAGAACTCTGAAGTTAAGATCATGAGCTTAAGTCGTGCAAATATGCATTGAAATCATCCGTACAATGCTCAAAGTGATGGAGTGAATTGTTATTGTCTAATCGAAATTTATTTCTCTTCCATTACACCAACTTTTTTTCATTTCTCTATTTATTCTGTTTTGTTATTATATAATAAGCCATCATTTTTTATAAGATAAAAACTGTTGGAAATGAATAAAAACGTACGTTGATTCGTCGTGTAACAGATGATGTTAAACAGTGATGCTGTTTCTTGTAAATAAAAATTACGGTAATATACCCATGCTCCAATTCCTATTTTTTCATTTGAGGATATCTAGCACTCTTTCGCTTGTCGATTGTTCGGTAAAACTATACCGCAAATTATTAACCCAAAAGCATTATACCGAGGTGACAAGCAACAAGGTTCCAAGGGTCATCCTCGGATGCGCGACGATGAGGCTCCCAGGGACAAACGCAGCAAGAATCATCACCGTCGACGGAACGAAAGCAATGTTCAAGACTCTACAGTCGCACGGTTATACTGAACTTGACACGGCTCGAATGTACAGTGATGGTAAGCAAGAAGCTTTTACGCGCGAGACGGGCGTGCTCAATGAAGGATTCATCGCGGCCACTAAGGTGTATCCCGCGGAAGCAGGTATGCATAAGCCAGAGAAGCTACGCCAAATATTCGACACCAGTCTCAGAGAACCTGGCCAACAGTCTGTTGAAATCTTCTACCTCCACGCACCCGATCGAAGTGTTCCATTCGAAGAGATCCTAATGTTATCTTTCTATTTCACCCACCTTCCACCGTGAGCCTGACATAGGCTTTCTGACATAGTAAGCTGACATGAGGTTCTTCTATGCGGAAGTATATTTTTTTTGACGAATACGATTCCTGCCACATATTAAACGTACTTCATAGAAAAAGGCCTGTTCTAAAAACAGAAATTTGCCGATAAAACAACCTGATGGGATCTTTTCACGGCGTTTTTAGCTGAAATTTTTTTTCTTGATATATCATTCGATGCAAAACTCGTCCAGCTTGAGTGTTTGTCAGGACGGGGCAGCCGGAGTCCAACCAGCGACTGCATCTGCTCTTTTTTGTTTGAATCTACTGGAAACGGACTGTTTAAGGACCGCTAATAGAGCTCAAGCGGACTGTTAACTGGACCATTTAGAAGACATAGTTTACAGAACTGCAGATTTCTTAGAGACTTCATTGTTAGGTACAAAAGAAAAACTATATTTACCATAGACGCACTTTATAGAGACGAGCATCTTGTATAGTTTTAGAAAAAATCTACATTTTACGTAATCAACAATAGAAACTTCTCATCAAATGATCATAATGATAAAATCTAATGATATTAGATAGAAAAACAAGAATATCCTTTTCTATAACATAATGAACTGAGGCTCATATTTTATGCCATTTTAACTCTAGCTTCGATTGATAGCTAGACACAAAAAAATACAATTTTTGGCTTTGGGTTCAGGAGCTTCGAGATACAAAATTAGTTTTCACACTAATTATGAGTATTTCAGAGACGGTTTAGTCCAGTTGAAAACATATCAATATTTTCGTCTATATATATATATATACCGTACATTTAGAACAAGTTTTCCTGGCGTCTGTCTGCAGATTTTCCAAAAAACCTTGGTTTTTCAAATAAAATTCACTTTTCCTCCAAAGGAGCTTTTTTAATCAAATACAAGTTATATTCAGGAACAGCATGTCGAGCTGCATTGAATCATATATTCAATATCCAGTTCCGTAAGTCAACTATGTGTTCTACTTTTCTTTTATTTGGCCTTTATGGGCCTATGATGCCGAAAAATTCAAAATACATCATGAAATTGATTTGGGATAAAGGCCCCTTACATACAAAACAGAAGCCGACGCGAGAGATCAAAGCACGTGTCGAGGGTAGACTCAGTTGGACTCCGTGTTGATCCTGCGAGAGAGAGCAATCGCGTATCTATGACAGAGAGTAGCTCAAAGGACATGGGACGGATGCTGGTGTAGTGTAAGATTAGTAGCATGCGGTTGAGACGGACGTTAGCCCCGAGAAGCAATGACATTACAAATAGTATAGTACAAAAAGCAATGACCATCTGTTCGTTGAATGATTGATCAATTGAATCGGATAAATCTGCAACAGTGTATAAAGGATAAGCTGTAGACAGAATATAATGTGTGTGTTGTGAGGGATGGTGGGTCGCGAAAACAATCTTGCTAATCAAGAACTAGAACAAAAAATGAATGAAATGAGAAAACATTTCCTGGACAACAAACAGTGAACTTATTTTACTTATATGACACCACTTTCACCGCTCAGGTGTCTCGCCTTGAGTCCGTCCAACATCTAGCATTCCATATGGTTACTCGAAACCTTTCTACTCCCAGTCAGAATTTACTAAGGAGATTGATCTGCCTCTACTTCAAGTAAGGCGAAAATACTTTCTTCTTATACATTTTTTCAAAATTCTTAACGGCCTCTCTCCTTTATCTAGACTAAACCTTATCCAATACGACCAGTCTAGAAGATCAAGTCGTCTTAATCATTCGAGAATAGTAGAAACTCCCTTTACTAGAAAAGAAACCGTTCTCCAATCATTTAACTGCCAACAGCCCAAGACTGAAATTTAACCGTTCCTGAAGCTGTTGTTACATCACCCACAATAAAGTCGTTTGAAACAAAGCTCAAGAACTATCTTGAGTTTTAATCGTTTTAAAATAAGGTGGCAAAGTTTATCGGTTCTCAGAACTTTTTTCGCCTTTTCAGTAGCATGCTTTTGTTTTTGTTTATGTAAAGATGTATATTTGTGTTCCCTTTTTTGTTTTCACTATCTATCATCTACTTGTTACTACTAAAGTATAAATCAATCAGTCAATCAAGTTATTCATCCTTAGAGCGCGCTAAGGGGAAATGTGTCACTCTGATCTTGAACTATAAATCGTCTACAACGATTTTAAATACAAGAGAAAGCTCCAGTGAAAAGGTTTCATAAGAAAAAATCGACAAACTGTTGCTCTCATCAAAAGATTTTAGGCAAAACATTTTTTTTTCGGAAACAAGTTTTTTCTACGAAGTATGTTCGGATCGGGATCAGAAAGCATATTACAGCAGAATAAATGTCTCTCTGTCTGCCGAAAAAACTCGTATGTCCCCTTGCTATGCTGAAAAAAGCACACTGTGCTACCCCGCTCTTAGTGATAACGTATTACTTGGGCGATCACCTTCAGGAAATCAATAAAATGTACGAGGAGGGCAAGTTCAAGATATTCGGGTTGAGCAACTATGCCGCTTGGGAGGTGGCACAAATTGCGTAAATTTGCATTGCTCAAAAATGGATTCGTCCAAGAATCTACCAGGGCCTGTACAATGCGCTAACGCGTGCCTTAGAAGAGGAACTCGTGTCCTGCTGTCCGCACTACGGAATCGACATTGTCATCTACAATCCACTTGCTGGGGCGTTCTCTCTGGACGATACAGGTCATCATCGGAAATCCCAGAAGAAGTTCGATTTTCAAATGCCGAAGGGCACACAACGCGAAAGTTGTACCGCGATCGATACTTTAATCAGATCTACCTCGATACCATTAATCATCTCACACCAGCGGTGCAAAACCAGGCTTTAAGTCTCGTTGAGACGGCGCTTCGATGGCTTATGCATCACTCGACATTGCGTCCTTTTGATGGCGACGGAATCATTATTGGCGCGAATAGTGTCGAGCAGTTGGGCTCAAATTTGAACGACTTACAAAAGGGACCACTACCGGACGAGGTCGTCCGTGCGCTGGATGAAGCATGACAGAATACTCGAGCTATTACAAAGACATATTGGAGATAGACAGACAAATTTTCTTTTTACAGATGACCTTCATTAAATCATGTTCACAGAAACAACAAAAAGAAGCAAAGGAACAAAACGAAGAAGAAAATATAAGTTTGCTCAATTAGTAAAATATCTGCTTATTGAACTGAAGCTGGCAAGTAGCAACCGCTTAGCAGAAACTCTGAATGTTCTAGGAAGATCTTATTTTGTGAAATTCTAGCATTTTGAATTATGTTTTTTCATATTAAAACACCTGGATTCTAACCTAAAATTCTCTGTAGAATTCTAAGATTCAAGGCTCCTTCAAAAATATCTCTATTGATTAATTCGAATACTGGTTTGAATTTGAAGATTTTTAAATTTTTCAAATTCACGTAGAAAACTAAGTCTGAGAACGCTTTTCGAATATTAATATTTCATTTTATACTTCTGTAAAAATGAGGTTTTGAGCACCTTATGTTTTGGTGTCAAGACAAAGCGTTCAGCGCCTCATTTTTTTTTATAAACCTATCTATTTTTTCTTTCAAGAGATATAGTCTCTTGCATGTCATCGAAATCGTCAAAATGGGAGCAACAAGTGATTTCTCACCCCTCGGCTTTCTCATTCTCACAAAAGACCTGGCCGATTCTGTGCTTAATTGGATTTCGAACCGGACAAACAACACAATGTTTTAAAAATCGATCAACAGCAGCACGCGGTACCCACGAATAACGTAACTGAGTTTTACTAAATGTTCTGTGTCGTCTTCCATGATAAACAGCTACATACCCTAGTCGTCACTTCTAATAAACGAATTAGAGAAGAACTCTGTGTTCTTTCTGACCCAAGGCGACTAATGTCACCGAAAACTCCGAAAAAACTTCAGGGCATTTTTTCTGCTGAAGAAAATACCGCTCTTTTTGACGGTTTTTCTGTATAAACTTCGTGTTTGGATTTTTGTGTCAAAGCGCATGAGTTTCTTGAGGTATGCACATTGTTTTACATATTTCTCCCCCCCCTCCCCCCACGCACAAGTGCATGTGATAAGAAGGTCAAGCACATACCTGTAGAGTTTTACAATGTAAAACTACTCATGTGCATGGAGACAAATCCTTGGGCATGATATCTCATGTGCTTGAGAAAAGAAACATCACTAGCGTTACACTCTCCTCTGCTCGTCCTGAATAAACAAAGTCTTCTTCCATTAACTAAGGTACCGGCAATTCAAAAGATAAGCAAAAATTTTTTTCGACGGCCGCAAGGACGGTGACAAGGACTTTGTTTTAGTAAGAATCAAAATAAACTGACAAGTTTTTTCGAAGAGATCATTGTTCTTGATATACGAGTGACAAGCGCAAAATAAAAGCGATGAATGACCTTTTCGTCAGTTATAAAAGTAGACAGAAGAACAGCTCGCAGGAACAAGCATCTTAAAATAAGATGAATGAAAAGAAATAAGACGGATAACATAAACGGATTTTTTTTCAGAGTGTAGGCCGGCAAGATGTCGTGGTAACACGTTAATGTACTGTTGAAAATTTGGTTTCCCATACCGTTGCCACAGGAATGAATATAAAACAAATTGAGCAGTGATAACGCGTTGCCGGTGGTATTCTATGCATTGCTATGCATGGGATAACAATAAAATATGGATTCATATAGAGTCATCAGATCCAAGTGAGGATGATCTCATCACCGTTCAAGATGTCCATTAAATTCATCACAATCACTTTCCTGATTATAATGCTACATATTGTCTGTTGTACTGTTCACTTACTTCATCGAAGGAAAGTTTTCTTTTTACTAAGAGCGTAATTCGAACATAAATTTTTCGACTGCAGAAGTCAAGACAAAACTACTAGATAAACCAATTTGAAAAGTGAAACAACGAACGAATGTAGCCAAAGCTTTCTACAAGAACAAGTCGTTGAGAAAATATCAACGTATTTCCAATACCAAAGAAAACGATATTTTTAGTTTTTCAATTTGCGACTTGGTCAGAAGTGCCTGAAGTTAGTAGATTTCAGCTAGTGGATTGCTGTATCTTTATACGTACTATTTATATGATGATTTGCTAAAATCCCATTTTTTTATCCGATAATTAATCATCCGACGCTTCCTGATGTATATTTCGTCATTATCAGCCACCCAATCGAAAACCAAACCTCAGAATGAAGAGAGAATTCTCCTTAAACTGCACAAACAGAATATTATAAGCTTTACAACCGCTTATTTAGTTACAGAAAAGTTCAAACCTTCGAAGCTTGAACTGATCATTACAATATGCAAAGTCTTGGCGATCGCTCTAGGATGCTTTCGCAGATCGTATCAAACAATTTAACATATGTCTTGCCTAAATGAATAATCTAGAAGAATGTTATTGTTGACAGAAATGTTGATATTCCATAAATCGGAAATACAAAGTTAATTCTCGGTAAACATGAAAAACTTTTGTCACTATTAAACATTCAGTTTCATTCGACAATGTTGCTTGATACAATAAAGGTGGAGGAAAAGTACAAAAACTGAGTATCGAGAACTACAAACCTGTAGTAACGTTATTCCCAGCCTGGGATATGTTCACATGTTTCAGATTGCAGTGGAATGCTAGAAATTCACCAAACAAAACGGCTATATTTTGAACTCAGCTTTCTTTTATTACACACCCAAGTGTTCTAGATCGGATCTTTCAATTTAGCTGGTTTAACTGATCAATTTGAAGAATTCCACGATCCACAAGTATGTGCGGTAGTGACTAACTATTTCCTTCCATTCTGGAAATAGTTAGTCACTACCGCACATCCTAACGCTTTCCTACTCATCGTTCATTATTCTGCAGAAAAAATAAATTTCATTTATGGTGCTGTAAGTTCCACGGTTAGATGAACTTGCATCTGAAAGCACTGAGAAAAAGACCTTGCTTTCATAATTTTTAAAAGTACTATTTTCGATATATCAATTAATACATAAATAAACAATAGTTCCGTTGCTTTAGTTTGTTGGCAAAACATTTGAATTGGTAGATGATAAAAGTCATTCGAGAATCTTAACACATTTATATTAGAGTCGTATGGGGCAATTCCGGCCACTTGCACAAAGTCTCTTAGTATTTTGCGTACTTCTACGCCGTTTTTAATCAAATAAGCGTGCTATGGAACATACAGATAGAACTAACAGTTCTCTATCCGCTGATACAAAAATCGCCTAAAAATCCCTCTCCCTTTTCGGAGGGTATTCAAAAAGAAACAGAGGCCTCCAAACTGATCCAAATTCCTCCATATAGGGTAATTCCGACGGATAAGCTATTTGACGTGGGGTAATTCTGACGGGTCCATTCAGATACATGGAATTTCCTGAAACAAACCTCTGCTAATTATCGATAATACCTAATCAGCTAGAAATTACACTAGTTTGAGGCTCTTCTTCTCTTCTACCTTTCATACCAATTGGACATTATTAGCATTTCTAGCGTTTAATTCAATGAAGTTAATTAAAATACAATAAGACATGATTAGATTTCTAAATTTTTTCATTTTTTTCGATTGGGATGAATCTAACCGGTCCATTCAAATACATGCAGTTTCCTGAAACAAACCTCTGGTGCTTTTCACAAGTACATTTCTGACATACTCTTCAGATAAAAGATATTCGTCATGTCATTACCTACAACATATGTGAAAATTGCATCTCAATAGCTCAAGATCAGCAGAATGATCTTAAATATTTTATGTAATTTTACACCTATTGTGATGATGAATTTACCCAGTATTACTAAATATGCTCATTAATTGTGAGCATATTTAATAATATTCTCATAACCAATGAGAAAAAACTCATTTTAAAAACTAGTTTCAATAAAAAGTCATTCAAAAACTGGTTTGACACCTTTAATTGATTAATGAATACTGCCGTGCAAATCTGATTAATATAAATACCTAGTATTGCGCAAAGTACGATGTCTCTCCCGTACATATAATACAATAATCAATGATTATAAAACATAAACATTCTGTATAATTTTTTTGCAATATTAAATAAGGAAAATCAACTAGACATCGTATTTTTGGGCCATGCTAGGTACTTACATTAATCAAATTCGCATACCAGTACTCATTAATTAATTAAAGTTGTCAAACCAGTTTTTGAATGACCAGGTTTTGAAACTAGCTTTTAAAATGAGTTTTTCTCATTAATTATGAGCATATTTAATAATACTGAGTAATATTATATCTGTTTAGAGGAAGAAATTTTAGAACTGATAAGATAGTAACAGCAACTGTTTTTAGATTCATCTTTATTTAATAAAAATTAAAATTAAAAATTATTTTTATATTGTTTTTTAAATTTCTCTAAACTAATCCCCACAGAGCAAGAACATGATGCATTATGTAAAAGAGTTTATTTTTAAAAAAATTTTAATTTTAATTTTATTTTTAAATAAAAATGAATCTAAAAACAGCTGCCGTTACAATCTTATCAATTCTAATACTGGGTAAATTCATCATCACAATAGGTGTAAAATTACATAAAATATTTAAGATCATTCTGCTGATCTTGAGCTATTGAGATGCAATTTTCACATATGTTGTAGGTAATGACATGACGAATA